CCAGCTGTTTGGGGACTACAATTCCCATCATCCCTGACCACTGGTCCTGATAGCTAGGGATGATGGGAGTTGTAGTCTCAAAACAGCTGGAGGGCCAAGTTTGGCCATGCCTGGTCTAGGGCTTTTGGCTGCACTTCCTTGTGTCTGGGCTGTATCCCCAACTCAAAAATATAATTTTAAAGTAAATCCTTTGAAATCTTGCTCCCTGTTTACATGCAGAGACTTAGGACTAACCTGCCATTAAGACTAGTAGCAGGCCGAACCCCTGAATGTCTTAGAACTCTATGACTCTTGCAAGAGCAAGGCAGTTTATCTTGGGATGCTGCTGGGGGAGAGAACAGTCACTTTCAGACCTAAATGATGTGCCACCAACTGCATTCTTGCAGTTTTGGGGTGAAATACAAAAGGCATCAATTGCCTAGTATGGGGGGGACCATAATCACACTAATGTAATAATGTGCTGCTCTTCAAAGGTATTTCTATTGTCTGGTGCATCAGGGAGGTCCCTCTGAATCCAATGTTGAGGACCCCCCCCCAAGGGCTCTGGGTTGACACCTGATGAAGAATTGTTGGAACTGTCAGAGGAGGAGGTGGACGCAACAGCAATTTTATTTGCAATCTGTGAAAATTTGGGGGGGGGGGTCAGTGGGGCTGCCTTTCTCAAAAGCCATTTATTTCTGCTAAGTGCAGGTTCAGTTTCCAGTTTCCAATGAGAACTCTGGCCACTGAGAGCAAATGACTATTATCAGTTTCATTTTCTAACTAAAGAACGCTGACTGATTCACTCAGGAGAAACCAGCTGTATTCCTGGAAATGCAGTTAGAGGTGGAGGGATCCAATCCAACAGATATGGCATGAGCAGCACAAGTCAGGCCAGTTTCCAAAACAAAAATTCAAAATAGCATCACTGCCTGGGGGATGAAATATATTAATAACCAGAATCACTGGCAATATATTGCCAAATCTTGTGCTGTGCCTGCTGCAATCATGCCTGTTTTCCAGGGATGTTTTCAAGCTCTAAATCTAACTGCAGTTGGGAGACAGAAAATCAGTTTAGGCTGTAATCCTAATCCCACTAGCAAAACCCATGGAAGAAGATTTATTTGAAAGAAGGCGTTCCAATGGGTTGGTGAAACCAGCCCCTTTCCTTCTCACACACGGCATTTTTTTTCAGGGGAGGGGACGCCAACAGAGTTCCTTGCCAAGGGCACCTGCTTTTGCCAAGCTGGTTTTGGACAACAACTCCTGACAACCCCAGCTATATATCCAATGGTCAGGGATGATGGGAGTCATAGACCAAACCATCCAGAAGGCAACAGCTTGGGGGAAAGCTGATTTAGCCCCGGTAACAGCAACAGCAACAATAATAATTTTATTATTTATATCCTGCCCATCTGGCTGGGTTTTCCCAGCCACTCTGGGTGGTTCCCAGGAGAATAGTAAAAACACGATCAAACATCAAACATCAAAAACTTCCCTAAACAGATGTCTTCTAAAAGTCAGATAGTTGTTGGTATTCTAACTGTGCTAACTTATCATAGGAGATACAAGGTTTATTTACACAGATGTACAGGCTGAGAATAAAATGGAAGGCTCACAGTATCCAACAGATCCATTGCCCCATCAGATTTATTGGAGGGTCTCCAAAGACTCAGGTTAGGATTCTGCACAGAAAGCAGGTCAGAACTCTCTCTTTCAAAACCAGTTTCAGGTCTGCCAGTCATTTTATTTTCTTCCATGCACAGAGACATGGATGATATCAGCCAGGAGAGGGAAGAAAGACGCCTTCCGAAAGGCTCTCTGGCCCTTGGCCTCAGGCAACAAATCCCCTGTATTTGGCCAACTCTTTAGTTATGTAAAGGTTCTTCCTCCCAACAAATGAGCCAGGCTAATCTTGTTCAACCAATTTGACTTCATTGGTGGTTTTGTTTTACAACCATAATCACAGGGTTGAGGGAGCTCCCCCCCCCCAAGAAAACCCCACACTTATGTAGTCCAACACCCAATCACATTACATTTCTATGTAATCCACTTTGTGAGGTTCACCTAAAAACCAGAATATAAATATCTTAATAAATAACCTACACTCAACAAGTCATAAAGAGACAGTGTTCAGTTCCTAAAATGTGAACAGCTTGGATTACTGTAACATGCCCTACATGGAGCTGCCATTCAAAAGAGCTCAGGAACTTCAACTGGCTCAAAGCTGCCACCAGATTGCTGATTGGGGCTGGTTATAGAGAGCAGATGACTCCCTTGCTACAACCGTTCTGCTGGCTACCAGTTGGCTTCCAGGCACAATTCAAACTGTGCTGGTTATGACCTATAAAGCCCTGCACTGCTTATGTCTAGGCTACCTGACCAACCATATCCCCTCATACAAACCTGCCTGGGTTCTGAGATCTGCACGGGAGGCCCTTCTCTCAGTCTCACCCACCTCACAGGCATGCTTGGTGGGGATGCGGGAGAGGGCCTTCTCAGTGGCTGCTCCCAGACCCTGGAAATCCCTCCTGGGAAAGGCTAAATTGGCTCCCTCTTTGTTATCCATCCACCTGCAGGTAAAGTCCTTCTCATTCCAACAGGCTATTGGGAACTGATTGCTTTTAATGAAAGGGCTGGTGCTGAGCTGTTTTTACTGTAATTATTGGTATGTTTAAAACAGTGTCTGTGTGTGTGTATTATAAAATTTACACATGCAAACAAACACACATACTACTAGTAATAGCACCACTACTACTACTAATAATAATAGGTGTATGGGTGTAGGGGAGGGGTAGTACCTTTGGATGGGGAGACATCATGCTCTTTCTCTTGCTGTTCGTCCATCTTTGGTCCCCACCCTTCACTCAGCTCTCGCCTGTGGCTCCTAGAAGCTGTCAGCAGGTGAGAGCAGCCACACCCCGGGAACAAGTGAGGGGAGCTGATGGGTCTCAAATCCTCAGTGAGTTAGAGACTTCCCCTGCATTTGAAGACAGGCTCTAGCAGATTGAGCAGACAAGACCAATGCAAGGCCAAGAGTGGGTCCAACAGTCAAGAAGGCGGTTTCTACATGTGCTGTAGAGGTAACTGAGGGGCAGATGGGGCTCGTCCACCTGCGAAGGTAGCCCATCTAGGAGAAGGAAGAATCTGACCCCAAACCTCCACTGCCTTGCAGTATATCTTTGGGAGAATAAAAGTCTGAGGAATAAACTCTACACAAATCCAGAGTGGAGTCCCCAAGACGGTTGGATGAGGTCTTGTATGCCTTCTTCCAACAACTCCTGCACCAAACTGGTGCTAAATGTATTGCTCTGCTTTCCGTTGTACCACAAGAGCAAGGCTGAGAGGGGGGCTTGGCTTCTGGGCAGCCCAGGACCACAACACACACTGCCCAGTATTGTGCATTGCGGAAAGTCACTTCAGTGCTGCTAATGTAGCAGTCTGACTTCACCCCTGGAGGAGCACTCCATTGTCCCTTGAGAGAGAGAGATGCGAAGAACAACAACAGACCACTTGCATTCCTGGAAATAGCATCGCCTGCACTGGGCATAGGCTGTTCAGAAATAGATAGACTAGAGATAAGCATCTCATTGCCATATATTCTGCAATTTGCAGTGTGTAAGAGAAGCTTTTAAATAAGTTGTTAGAGAGCCAGTGCCTGTACTGCAGGTGGGCAGGTGAAGATGCAGTTTCACTTTACAGAGCATGCATCTACCATGTGCATGACTATCTTCTTGAACTCTCCCGTAACTATAATTACAGACTGTAAGTGTTACTGCATGTCTCTGAGATGTTGCTATTTCACATAAAGAGAAGCAACCAGACTCATTGGAAATTGCACAACAGATGTAAAGAAACAGAAACTGTTATAGTTGACTGGTGAGCACACAAGAATCTAATGTATAACCACCAAGAGGCACCACTAGATTCTAAAAGGACTTGGGGCACAGTGTGCATTTGCTAACATATGTATCTTTTAAAAATGTGGAGGAACTCACATAATCACAGTAGTTTTTTCTTCTAAGTGGTAGAAGGCTTGTGAAGAAATTGCCACAGGCATAGCTGAGTCTTCCAGGCTTCCTTTGGCAATGAACCTCGAACAGTTGGGGTTTCTTAATGACTTAGAAAACTAATGAAGGCTAATAATAATGACTGGGCAGCCCAGATAAGGATTACTCTGACATAGAATCTTTAAATCACAAGTATTTATCTGTCGGCCAATTAATGTGATAGGTGGGCTGGGGACTCAGCACTCTGTATGCACTTTGTAAGCAAAGTGTGTGTAGAAGCTTTGGCCCTTCAGTGGTTGTTGGACCATGTTTCACAGCATCCTCAGCCATTAGTCATGGAACCCAATAACATCTGGAGGATCAAAGGTTAGCCACCTCTGGCCTAAAGCAACATGTATGAATAGGGATGGGGGCAGAGTCAATTCAATTCACATTTCAAGGTGAACCTACCAAATTCACAGTTTCCAAAACAGTCTTCCTTCACGCAGCACAGAGTTGAACTGTGGAACTCCCTCCCACACCTGTATTAAGAAGAGATAACATGCATAAGTGCATTTTATATGGAGAAATTGCTTTCAAAAATGTGTGTATTTGTGAAATAGAAATGTGTTCTGCATAGAAGCAAATTTAGAGAAATTTGCACTAAAATGCTGATGAATTGTCATACAGACTTTTAAAAAAATATCTATTGTAGAAATGTGGAGAACTGAATTTCATACTGGAAAAATGAGAAACTAAGAGAAACCGAAATTGTCATATTTGCCCACAGCTTTATACGAATGCTAAGGAATATTAAGATCTGACAATGGAAGCTAGCAAGTACACTGAAACAGTGCAAAGTAAATGGATTGGGTCAACAGGAAAGAGGAAAGGGTGGAGTCTTGCTAGCTTGGGCTGGAAGCCAGGACTCTGAAGTCAGGGATGTGGTCCTGGGGGTGTGGCCCTGGCTCAAGTTTCGTCCGCACACACAATATACTGGAAATCCCCCTAGCACAAAGCAAAGTGCATCTTGTGATAATGTGAAGGGAAACCGCACACAAGCCCCACACTTCCATGATTAATGTTTAACTCCCGGGAGTGCCCCAGGCAACTCAGTAAGAACAGCTCGCGTCCCTGGCATGGCAACATAAACTCCAGCCTATCACCCAGCGAGCAGCACCAAAGTCTTCAGCCTGAGGAACAGCAGCCTCCTGGCAGTGATGGGTGCCTGCCTTCACCCCTTGGAGGGTAAGAACTGGCTGGGGGTTTTGAGGACGGGCTCTGGGTGAAAATGCAAAGGTGCTTCTGGTGGGTCAAGGTCCCCTGCGCTGCAGAGTCAGGTGATGGAGGACCCATCAGGTCTGAGACTGGTTTCACAGGGAGCATAACTGAAGAACTCTCCCGCAGCCCTTGCTGCTCATTATGCTCAAAGGCTATGGCTGAGGTCAGCATCTGTGTCAGGGAAGAGCTCTGGAAAATGTTCTCCTTTCCAGGGTGCAGTTCTGAAGGAAAATGTTCAAAAGAACAAGTGTGCCTCTGAATGTACGCATCACTGTGTGCATCTCTCTCAGCACTGAGGAATTAATGTATGGAATTCACTGCCACAAGATGTGGTGGCAGCCACTGAACTACAGTGTTTTTTTTAAAAAATTGATGTTGGTTTATATATATTAGCAACTATGCCTTAATATTTTGTAGTATTTTGTTTAAATTGTCTGTTGTTGCTTCAGTTTTCTGTACACTGCTTAGAGATCATTTAAATATATTAAGTGGTAAAGGAATTAAATAATCAATCAATCATGTGTACTCCATTATGTAAAGACATCTGAGCTGGCTGCTCCAAGCCCTTTTTGCAAATTTTCACCACTTTGAAACTAACCTAAGTTTTGCTGCCTGTGATTTCTTAATGCTGTATGGAAAAGCACATGAAACTGACCTTTGAAGAGTTTGTAAATAAGCCATTTTAAACTTACCAAATGTCTGGTCTTTTTCTATGTTAAGTCGAAGAGGGAACTTGGGAAGGAATATTTTAAAGGTCTAAGAGCTTATATTTCCACACCTTACTTTGCTGCAGGTTTTGTGTCTACTGGGGTTCTCTCACCCTGAAACCTGAATCTTGACATCCAGTGAATTTTTTATACATCATTTTTCCTCTCTCAATCAACATATATTAAATGTTTATGGGGGTGGTGTGTGGGTGGTTTTGGAGGTTGTTGTATGATAAAAATTCTCCAAAAGTCAATAGTGAACAAAGCATGCCATTCATTGTTCCTCTGCCAAAATTTCTACTTTGAATGGTCTCCAAGACCACATTTATTTTCTCACTGAAACTCGCGATAAGAACTTAATCATGAATGTTCTTTGAGTCTGGTGTAGCAGAGTGTTCTTCTAATGGAGAGCAGGGGCTTTGAGCTGGGAAGCCTCTTGTTTGGACCTTACTTTAGGCATATCATGTGGGTTCTTGGTGGCCCCAGCAGGATGCTCCCCAGCAAGACCCCCACTGGGCACCAGCACTACAGCCTTTTCCCAGGCATTTTATGGCACGTGATTGGCTGTTTCTTAAAAGTAAAGGTAAAGGTACCCCTGCCCGTACGGGCCAGTCTTGACAGACTCTGGGGTTGTGCGCCCATCTCACTCAAGAGGCCGGGGGCCAGCGCTGTCCGGAGACACTTCCGGGTCACGTGGCCAGCGTGACATCGCTGCTCTGGCGAGCCAGAGCCGCACACGGAAACGCCGTTTACCTTCCCGCTTGTAAGTGGTCCCTATTTATCTACTTGCACCCGGGGGTGCTTTCGAACTGCTAGGTTGGCAGGCGCTGGGACCGAACAACGGGAGCGCACCCCGCCGCGGGGATTCGAACCGCCGACCTTTCGATCGGCAAGTCCTAGGCGCTGAGGCTTTTACCCACAGCGCCACCCGCGTCCCCGGCTGTTTCTTATTCACCACCAATTTATGGTTCGTTTTGGTTAACTAATTATAGTGTTAACTTTGCTAATTTTTACGGGGCACAGTGATTTAAGGAAAAGATGAATAAATTGGTGCTTGGGGGCTTTAAAAACCTCTTGGTAGTGTGCTATATGGGAGATTTTATGCATGAGTTGGATACAGAATGAGCTGTTGTTTAAGATTGTTGGTAAAGGGATATTTTGTACATGAAGAGGATACTGATATCTACTTTGGGCTTTTATATGTGCTTGATGGCAATTTCTGAGGTTGCAAGAGACACCAAAGCTGACAGCAGCCTCTAAGAAGCTTTAACCTCTGGCCAAAGTCGCTAAGCCTCCACCTCAGCCAAATTCACTCACAACCCAGCCCAACTACCGGGTGTAATCTGCCTCTGACTCCTAAAGCTCCTCGGCTTCTGGCTGCTTGGACAGTTCAGTTGATTTTAGAAACCTGCTTGCATAAGCTGTTCTGGTAAGCCCTCCTTAGATAGGGAGCCACTGGCTCCCTTCTGATCTTCACCAGCAAAACCTTAACCCACTAAGGATGAATTTGCTTAATACTCAGGTCTCATCTATCCATTTTCACCCCAGTTTTCTGTGGTCTCCCAACAGCTAACTCCCAACTGACATTTCCAACTGGCAGCCAAACAGAGTCCATTGTTTCACAGACCAATAAAGATGAATTTTCTTAACCCAGTCTCCTATAAATATTAAAAAAGCAATAATCTCCTCTCCCCACCTGTGAAACAGGCCTGCAACCCAGTAATAGCACAAGGTCTCAAACTTTTACATTTTCACCCAAACAAAGTAACGCCCCAGAAATCTTTTCCAAATCACAAAGCATAGACAGAGTGACATACACACAGCATTTCCTCAGAGAGCTCAAGGTGGCTCACACTCGCCCTCTCCATTTCCCCCTCTGAATGCTCCTAGGAGGTGGGTTGGCCTGAGAGATAGTGCCTGAGCCACACTCATCCAGCTTGCTTCATGATTAAGCGGGAATTTGAACCCTGCTCAACTTTTAGTTTTCTTTTAAAGAAATATTTTTACCAGATCCACTCTGTTATCCCCAAGATGATAACAAGCGAATTTACCACACATGTCAATAAAACATACCGGTAACTGTTAATTTATTCACAGACCACTGGCCACATATAACAATCTCCTGAATGTCAAACACCTAAGATCATTTAAAGAGAAAGAGTCAGAAAACAATTATAGATTGTCTAAGGAAAAGGCAATAAGCAGAAATATTTTTCTTCAAGGTTCAGGATTTCTCCCTCTGTCATTTCAGTGCACCCAGTGACCCTTCCCCTCTCAGAACAATAAAGGATTGTGGCAATGATGTTCTGATAACAGTAACCGCCAACTGCTCAAATGACATCCGGGATCAAGGAATGAAAGAGAAGCTGTTTTCTTCGTAAACTATAGCCCATTTTCACATACAGTTTAGCTCAAAAGCCAACCACCCTCATGAAGGTGGTTAGGCAGAGCAATGGTGGCAGGACCAATGAAACTTCTCTCTAAATTGGCTGAATGGATTTATGTGTGAGGAGGCAAGCACAGGCTCATCAGATGAGGCCAGGTGATCATGAAATGGACTTTATGCCTACATGATTTTAGGGGTATACAAAGTTCAGGGCCTTTTTTCAGCCGGAACATGCCAGAAGTCAGTTTCGGCACCTCTCAGGTGGGCGCCATTACCATTATAATGGAACAAGGGAGGTGTTCACAGTGAGTTCCAGCACCTCTTTTTCTTTCTTTTTTTTAAAAAAAAAGCACTGACAAAGTTGATATCTAAGCTTGGAGCTTATTTATCTATATAAAATATTTCTGTACCATGATAGGCAGCAGGAGTTCAGCTGGGAGCCAGTTGTGGGGGTGCCTGGTTGTGCCCCTCTCAGGATTTTGCACCCAGGGCCACAGCCCCCCAGCTACGCCACTGCACACAGTTTACCAATGCCTGTGAATTAAATGCATTAACATTAACCTGAGACATTTGGAGTCCAGTTGTCCTATAAAAAGGTAAAGGTACCCCTGCCCGTACGGGCCAGTCTTGCCAGACTCTAGGGTTGTGCGCCCATCTCACTCTATAGGCCGGGGGCCAGCGCTGTCCGGAGACACTTTCCGGGTCACATGGCCAGCGTGACAAAGCTGCATCTGGCGAGCCAGAGCCGCACACGGAAACGCCGTTTACCTTCCCGCCAGTAAGCGGTCCCTATTTATCTACTTGCACCCGAGGGTGCTTTCGAACTGCTAGGTTGACAGGTGCTGGGACCGAACAATGGGAGCGCACCCCGCTGCGGGGATTCGAACCGCCAACCTTTCGATCGGCAAGCCCTAGGCACTGAGGCTTTTACCCACAGCGCCACCCGCGTCCCGAGTTGTCCTATAGCAGCATATAATTGATCAACTTTTTGTACTTGATATATTTTGGCATAGCTGAATCCAGTTTAATAAACTGGAGTATTTATGTTCTATATATACCTGATGTAAAACTTCAGCGTCTATAAGGAAGTTATTTTTGCAAATGATATTTCTAGTTGCTTAAACAAAAAAACCACAAACCAGCCTATGGTTCAGTCATTAGAAGAACTGTTGCCTCTTGTAGACTGAGGGGTTTCAGTTTCATACGCAGGAGATGTTACTACAGTATGATAAATGGAAAGCAAACCCAACCAGGATCTGTTTGTGGCCTCAGCACATCTTCTCCTGCCGGTAGTGACACCTAGTGGTGGTCTCATATTTTGCAGGATCTTGAGCAACATGCTAAGCCTGCTTCTTTGCGGTAGAGAAAGTCAGAGCAGAACATGGATGTCATTATTAAAAGCAGTGTTTACGTAGCATTGGGCACAGAATTCCGCTTCCTGAGAATCCTGCCATGATGACTGTGGAGATGAGCGGCGCTTCTCAGAATTCCTGTTAATAACGCCATGAGACCTTTTGCATGGAAAGTGCATGCTGAACTTTAGCATGCACCCTTATAATTTTATTAATCATGGTGTCTCTTATTGTTAAGTTGTGGGTGAACATATCAGACGACACAGCGATTCTTCAAACAGCTCTTGTTTATTCACAGGCCAGAACTGAACTGAAGGGTTCAGCCGGCCTGCTTATATAGAGCTCCAGTACAACGCAACTGTAACAACTTTCTATAACTATCCAATCACTGAACGTCACTTTCAATCCCTTATTTGCATATGTGGACCTGAATTATCTACAGTATCCCCCTGCTAGCCCAGGGTGAAAACTTCAGTACATAACACTTATGTCTTCCACAGGTCCAGATGTCGCAAGCCAGCCTCCCAGTGGTCCCCTCTTTTTCCATCCTTACCTCAAAGGCTCCCAGGTCATTATGGACGAGTCCCACTGCATAGCGAGCAGAGCAGCCACGTTCTGCAACGGCATTGTCTTCTCCAGCCGGCCTATTGAACTTTATGAGAAGGTGACTTTGAAAATCTTAAAGGAAGAGAGCAGGTGGTGTGGAGGCCTAAGGGTGGGCTTCACTTGGGAGGATCCGTCCCTCGTTGAGCCCAGTGTGCTGCCTCCGTATTCTTGCCCAGACCTGGTAAAGCAAGGGAAGTGTCGTGCTGCTGTCTTACCGGAAGAATATGAAGCAGAAGGCACCATTGTCAGCTTCTGGGTGGACAACCAAGGTTCTGTTTTCTGCAGCACCAATGAGAAGTCAGAAGGTTTCCTTGTGGTAGATGGCGTCTTGGTCACAAGGCCTCTCTGGGCTGTTGTGGACATCTATGGAAGGACCAAGGCAGTCCAGCTTTTGGGTAAGCAACTGAAGCATCTAAACTCAGGGGTGGGGGAATCTTGTTCAGCATGAGGGCCACATTCCCTCATAGGCAGCCTTCTGGGGGCCACAGGCTGGTAATGAGTTGGACCAGAAGCAAAGAGTGGGTGGGGTAATAGTTGTGACTGTTTCCATGCAGCAGCCTACATCTCAGCCATACAAAAGGTCAAGATTTCTCTACCCACCCTTCTCTTCACCCATTATCGCTATTCAAATATGCTTTCCAGCTGGGGAAAGCCCTTGAGCACGGTGTGTGGTGTGGCCTGGCAAGAAGGCATGGGTTGTTGATGGGTAAAGGCTGCACATGAGATGCAGCATCCTAAAGTCTCTCTCGTTCCCTTTCAGGTCCTTCCAGCCTACCGACAAATGCTGATGGGCTCAGCCTTCTTCAACAGAGTGGTGAGTATCTGGAAAAGCTGTGAGTTGCCCTCAATTTCCTCTCATTATTTTCTTTTAGCCCAGGGAACCATCCCAGAAACAAGCTTTCCCAGGGCACTTCACTGCCCAGTGCAAAATTCACTTTTATTGCTTTGTTTTTTGTTTTGGGAAAAAAAATAGCTTCCATGGAGCTGTAATTTTGTATTTTATACTTTGCATTTTGTCTTATTGGTCCATTGACCATAATAAACATCTAACTGACTAGATACTACAAAAAGACACCATACATTTTTGTTTTTCTCTCACAAGGGCACAGACCCGGCAGAGGCCACCTTTAGAACTCCCTATCACAGTGGTTTTCAACCTTTTTGAGTCCACGGCTCCCTTAACCAACCACATTCTTTCTGCGGCTCCGCTGTGGAAGCCACTTAAGACTGGGGTTCCATTACAGGGTGTGCATAAGTGGGGATTTGCCCATTCCCCCCTGCCCCTTGTCAGCGCCCTTTTTGTCGTCCTTGTAAGTGGGAGCGCACTGCTCTCTAGGGCCGAGCTGACGCACTCCATGTGGCAGCCACAGCCTACCTTCCCCCAAATCAGCGCGCACATGGTGGTGGTGGGGGGGGAGTGGAGAGGGAAAAGGAGATTAAGATCCAAAGTAGAAATATTTTGTTATTGCAGGGAAGGAATAACACACATGCAGACATGGTCCTTCCCTGACACATTCTCCCTGTCCCCATAAAGCTGGGTGACTGTTAAAGAGCCAGGGAGTTGGCTGGAGGGGAGAGGTGGAGAAGAAGAAGGGGGCGGGATGTTGGCGGTAGCAGGACAGGGAAACACAGAAGACACTCCTCACTTTCAGGGTTATTTTGAATCCCTCCTTACAGAGCACACAAACCATAAAGCTACTTTGCTATTTTCTTGCATTTCTCAAGCCCTCTGTATAAAACTAAGGAACTGTTAGTTATTAAGCTGGGAAGGGTTTTTGTTTGGGGGGGAGAGATATTAAGAAGATATACAGTCATGAAAAAGTGTTTCCCCACTTTCTTACTGCTGTTTTATTTTGGGAAGATAATGGACTGCAAGTTAAAGCTGTCTGCTCCTCTGAATGTTCCTCAGAGAAAGGCAGAGAGATATGGACTGCAAGCTAATGAAAGGGTGGTCCCTCAGGGCTCCCCTCAATATTCCTCAAGTCACCCCAGGGTGCCACAGCACACTGGTTAAAAACCAGTGCTCAATCATATAAAGACATTGGGATGAGCCAACTACGGGTGGAGGATAAATTCTGTTCCGTTCACATTTTATTGTAAATCTACCCAATTCACACTTTCTGAAACAACAGGGGAGTCAGTGCACAGCTACCCTTCAAAATTTGTGCAGGTCTCCAGCCTCCAAAAAAGTGTTTTAAATGCACAAGCCACTCACCAACCCCCACCAGCTCCCCCTGGACTCACTCACTCTAGTCCAGTAGCTGAATCAGGAACAAATTAATTCTTATTAATAAATGCAGCTGAAAACAAGATAGCAGTGTGGACAGTGAGTGCAAGCAAGGCAAAGTACTGTCAAAACTTTGTCTCTCTAGCAGCATTCCCTCCATCCTCAGAGAACACAAATAGCATGTGATAAGTCCAAAGGCTACTGCTGCTTCCCCACCTGGCTAGGCTAGGCTCCTTGTGCACAAAAAGAGGCTCCCACGGACATGTGCAGAGTGCCATTCCCTCCCCCATTGGGTAAAGGGTAGTCAGTGGCGGGAGAGCCAGGCAGGCAGAGCAGAGGCTCAGGCAGAGCTTGTTCTTCTGCTCATTTCTGGCTGCTGTCATTCTGATCACCCCCTACTGGTGCTCATCTAGCACAGAGAGAAAAGTTGGTGAGTTCTCAGGACTCATTATTTTTTAAAAAAATTGCAAACTGATGTGGAAACATGACAAACTGAAGCTAAGCTTGCGAAACCAAAACTGACAGACTTGTCCATATTAAAGCCTGCTCATCCCCCCCCCTTTTGGTTAAATAGCCTAAGTAGGAAGAAGAGTGTGCTAAAGAAGTATTTCTATGTTTCTTATTCTGTGTCTTTTGTATGAAATACAGAGTCCACCTGTGGGGATTTCCATGCCTTTCCTGAGGAATGTGCTGTATGCTTTGGGCAAAAAGCCAACACGATGATGCTTCCTTGCTCTCATGCCAACTTCTGCTCCCACTGTTCACTGAAAATTTTCCATACCACCAGTCGCTGCCCATTGTGCCGGCAGGAAGTGAAGAAAATTATTCCCATCTCTGTTTTGGCAGAAGGAGAGAGCCCAGAAGTCTGGCCGGAATAAGCAAAGAATAGCCAGCCCCTGTGGTGACAAAAGTATGTACTATCAAAGCTCCTGAAATATTTCAAATCTTGATGGGAACCCACCGAGGTGGAGAAGACAAAGGCTGACTTTAAAAGAGAGATGCACAACGAAGAGATCACTGTGGCAGAAAAGATGTGCTACTGAGATCTTTCTCACTCTCTCCATGGCCTGAGAGGGAGGTGTATAAAAAGGACTCTCCGTAATAAGACACTTTGCCTTTAAAAAGCAGAGAACCATGGTGCTAGATTTAGAACAGTGACATCTAAATTCAACAGTAGGACTGAAACATGTTAAGGAGAAAGTGAGGGATCAAGCAGATGTTTAAAATATCCACCACGGGGGGAGTGAAGACTGCACTGGGAGCAAAGTGAAGAATACCCTTTAATAACCTCACATTTCAGCAGTAATTTTCTCTCCCAAGCAGTCTCAGTGTTACAGTTTAACCAACGCCATTGTAAACTGCTTTTCATGCACAGCTTAATCTTATCTCACAGCCATGCAAAAAGTGTTTGTCTTTTAGGCTGTTAGATAGGAACAAGCCGATGGCAGGTAAACCAAGGCAGGTGCAAAGTTTATGTCCATGGAGAGAGAGACTCTCCAAACAGGGCAAAATGTTGGGAAGCTGGTTAGGAGATTCCAAAAGGGGCAGGGTCACATGGGCAGTAGGAGGAGCATAAAGCAGCCTTCTGCCCTCCAGATGTTTTGTAGTGCAATGCCCATCAAGCCAAGGGGTGGCTGGGGCTGGTGAGGGCTGTAGAGTTGTCTAGAGGGCACCAGGTTGGAGAAGCCTTGCAGAATCCATTCTATCAGCAGAGGAACAGGAAGCCCTGAATTCCCCAGGAGGCCTGCTGTCTTTCCTGCTGTTTCGTGGAATGGGAAATTCCCTTTCCAGGAAGAGGCCCAAGACCTCATCATTCGAGTAGGAAACACAGGGGTGATTCTGTTGTGCTTTATTCATTTGCCCCAGGAGAGACCATGAAAATAGCAAGGTTAATTCACCTTGTTGAGAGGAAAGGGGGTGGGAGCAGGGATGAGAGAACCACATGGACAATGACTGTGGCTACAGGTTTCCAGGTTTTTTCTGGCCCTGCTCTTGTGCCTTTAACAAGTCTGAAATGCAGAAAACCAGCAGGTTAAGCTTTTTCTTATTTGATAAAAGAAATGATGGGCCAAACGTCATTTGCTAAATTTCTGTCAGCCTACTTTTATAGACAGGGACACAGGTGGCGCTGTGGTCTAAACCACAGAGCCTAGGGCTTGCCGATCAGGTCGGCGGTTTGAATCCCCGCGACGGGGTGAGCTCCTGTTGCTCAGTCCCAGATCCTGCCAACCTAGCAGTTTGAAAGCATGTCAAAGTGCAAGTAGATAAATAGGTACCACTCCGGCGGGAAGGTAAACGGCGTTTCCGTGCGCTGTTCTGGTTCACCAGAAGCGGCTTAGTCATGCTGGCCACATGACCCGGAAGCTGTACGCCGGCTCCCTCAGCCAATAAAGCGAGATGAGCACCGCAACCCCAGAGTCGGTCACGACTGGACCTAATAGTCAGGGGTCCCTTTACCTTTACTACTTTTATAGACAGGTATAGAACAAAGTCACCTCGCCACCTTTTGTTTCTTGTGTTTTAAGCTTATGTTCAGTGACAAGCCTAGGTAGGTGCCATCTTTTTAAACTATTAGTTTTGTCATCAAACTCTGTCCTTGAGACAAGACCAACCAAAAGGTCACTAAATCCTGAAAACCCAGAAGCTTGCACAGGAACTCTTCATGGGGCCAGATGGGAGTGGTGGAGGGGAGAGTCTCGAGAGGCTGAAGAGAGAAAACTTTGTTGGCCAACGGTGAGGCTGTGAAGCCTGCAAAGCAGGGAAAGGTAAGACGTTCCAGTGAGGCAGTTTGAGTGACCAGGCAGGTATCAGACAATAACGAACAATGCTTGATTACCTATCTGAAAATACAAGAACTGCTCCATATCCAGGCTGTTTGCATCTGTTAGCTGCTATTATTCCGCAGGTACTACTGGTTTTCATCATTTCATCATTCCATATTTGTTTTTATATATTTTTCTATGCCTTTGTAAACTATTTTCCTTTATATAATAAAAACATTTTCTATAAAATTATGTGCATTTCTTTTGTTGTAGGTTGGTTCAACTGTGCCATTATAGGCACAGGGTTTTGTGCCAATCAATTCAAAAATACATTCTGTACTGTACTGATTTAAAGAGACTAACAGAAAGAAGAGTCTCATGCAACACAAGCAAAAGGTCTCTGTCATCCAGCATTCTTTTCCACTTATGCCCAGATGTTTTGGGGAAGCCCCTAAGCTGGGCATAAAGACACGTTTGTAGTAATTAACTTACGCCTTGTGGAAAGAATGTAGTAACTGGCTTAACATCCTGCTCATCAATTTTAAGTGAACCAGAGAAGTGTGTGTATGTGTGGGGGGGGGTGTTAATCCACACCCCCTTTCTCTCAGATGGGTGGCATGTTGTTGTTGTTGTTACTACCACCACCACCCATCTTGTGTCCCCCCCAACAGATCCATTAGTTTTCCCTAATAGGAAAATCTCCAACCAAGTCCTCATTTGAACTGCCCTTTTCAGCATCACCTACCCAAACCTTTTTGAGAAGCAGAGAAAAGCTCCATGCAATGTATTCAAATGCTGCCACCCACAGAGTTTATTGTTCTGTTCCTGTTAGGCTTTCAGCCCCTTCCTCTGGTTATTTCCACCACTGAATTTACAACACAATGCTGCAGAGGGCCAGTTCCACTTAATCTGTCTCAAGCACTCTAGGCATGCCAGGTGACACTGGCATCTATATTAAATAAGGGACTGTTTGGGGCATTGCACTTACACCAAGTATCACCTCCTGTTGGGTTGTCCATTAAACCCATCCTGATTATAGTCTTGGGAGGGGGTTGGGAAGAGAAGTGGGAGGCTTTTCAGCAAAGCAAGTGGGTGAAAGGGTGTGGAACCATAAACTGGCATAATGCTTGGCAGGCAGCTGTAGTCACAAAACAGGAAGTGGACATTTCATAACACTTACATAAACCTGAACACACAATAAACCTGAGAAAAGCAAGCCAGACTGTGAGGAATAAAATTAAATTGGAATAAACAAGGCCTCATTAGCCCATTCACAAGGCATGTTGGTTGGGTTGAGGATCTTCTGGCCAAATCCAGAAAGCTCAACTTTGAGGATCAGCTAGGGGCTTTGAGGACACAGACTCATTTGGTGCTGAGGGTTTTGTGAGCCAACCCCACTGAAATTAACTGGAGATATGCTAATAAGCTCTTGCATATCTTCTATTCATTTTGGTGGGATTGGCTCACAATAAACCAGACTGGAGATTGGGCCCCATTTATTTCACTTCTGTCCTCCCTCCCTTCATAAAATGGATCATCCCAGCACAGGTTACAGCACACTAAAATATAGTCAGAACAGTAAAGAAGGTAATTAGTGGGAAAGGGACATATTTGGTTTCACCATCTTGGGTACCCAAGGGCAAGGAGGAATCTGGAAAAACCCAACAGCATAACTTTCTTCACAGGAGCAACTTTACTTAAGAGCATAAAATGCAAAGGGTTGATGGTCCCATACTCTTCAAAGAATATGTGCACCTTTATTTAAAAGAAATCTCCCCTCAACTTATGTTGCCACTTAAATTTCCCTGCCTAATAAATTCAGTGATTGTGGGAAACACAGTAATGCGTTTTGGAAGTCAGTGGAATTTGCCATGCATGCTTCCAACTCTGAAGCTGAAGCAACATGAGTCATCCAAGATTGTAAAAAGTTTATAGGTGCCGTGCCAAGTTAAATAGAGCAATAATGAGAAAGCCATTAAAATGAGATCATTGAGATCTATGGGGACAGTAGAACAATCACATGAACTATGATCACATGAACCTTCTCAGTTCTCACTATTGCATTAGAAATGTAGCCTGGTGCCAAGATGAGTGGAAAATTTCCTTAAACTCACATGCTTTGGTCCATTTCCTCCCTTGTTTCTACATATATAGAGGCTGGCACAAACCATGTTGACATAACATGAAACATCCAGATAAAGCAGAAGCGTGCTTTGCTGACCGAGTAACGAAGCAAGAGTGTGTGAAGAGGCATAATGTGATTAGACAGGCATTACTGGGAAACAGAAGGGCATAAGCCAGAGCAAAAGTGAAACTGCACACTAGAAAAATAAGGTCCAAGTGAAACAGAGAAGTCCATTTATCTACTGAGTTATAAAAATAGTTATATACCACTGTATCAAAGAAATAGATCGCAATGGTTTGCAATGATAGAAAAACAAAGCCAATCAATAACACCATAAAAGGTTAAAAACAAAACATTCCAAAATGGCGGCAGCCTAGTCAGAGCCTCCCGCCTTCAATTAAGCTTTTAAGTTGTTTTTAGTCACCTTTTGATCCTAAGTTCACATTTTAATTGTTTTATTAGCTGCCTTATAGTTGCCTTATCTTTTTGTCTTTGTTTTTAGTTTATTGGTACTGTTTTATGGCTCTATTTGACTAATGTAACAATGAACGCCCAGTGACGATTGATTGTAGTCCTTGTGACTAACTGGCAGTTTCGTCCATTGCTTCGTCTACTGGCTAAAAAAATCTGGTTTTGGCTTGTCGGGAGACCCCCCCCCCCCCCGTTTCACAAAAGGAAGGAGAAGACTTGACTCCTCTCCTTCAAGGAGTGAAGGAAATGATCTGACCCAGAGGACAGCAGCAGGAGGGGCGCTCCCTATTCCAAACGCTGACCCACCCATGTCTTTTGAACAAGACAGCAAAAGAGCTTATGGTCAGCATATTCCAGAAATGCACCCTTACCAAGAAATTTGCATGATGTCTGTAGAAGCTATGGTCTTAGTTCTCCAAAGACTGAATGAAATTCTTGCTAAAATAGTTAACATAGAAGAAAACTTGGATATTTGCCAAGACGAGTCACAGATGAAATAAGGTCTTGCCAAGTTCTTCAAAAGAACCAGATAATGCTTGAGATTCACCACAATGTGGATAGGTGGACGAATCACAGGTTAATTACAATGTCCTTATCCCACCTTTTGAACTGCCATTATAAAAAAGTAGATCTGGAAAATTTCCATTTCTTGCCCAACACAAGAAATACCACACGCTTACTTATGACTTTTAGTAAACCGGCCTTCCCATCTCGACTTATGGAGATGAAAAACATCTTATGGCGGTCTCACTTTCTTCACCTGCTAAGGGTTTTCAAAGATGAAACAGTGAGACAGTTGGGGAAAATAGGTTTTCAGATGGAGAGGTCGAAATTAGAAACAGAATTGTTAGAACCCAATACTAAGAACTTGTCAAGAATGTATAATTTGCTGCTGAAATGGAATACACAAGATGAAACAGTAAAATCAGCTATGATCAAATGGGCACAAGACATAGGTCATGACATTATGTTTGATGACTGGGAAAGGTTATGGAATGTTGGTGTTAGATTTACGGCTTGTAATGCTTTGAGAGAAAACATAATGAAAATGATCTATAGGTGGTATATGACCCCAGTCAAACTTGCAAAAATTTACCATTTGCCCAATAATAAATGTTGGAAATGTAATGAGACTGAAGGTACTTTCTATCACCTTTGGTCGACCTGCCCGAAGATTAAAGTCTACTGGGAAATGATCTATAATGAAATTAAAAAGGTCCTTAAATGGACATTTTCTAAAAAAACCAGAGGCTTTTCTCCTGGGCATGGTGGGCCAATTGGTGCCAAGGAAGGACAGAACTTTTTTCATGTATGCTACCACAGCAGCAAGAATTCTTCTAGCAAAGTATTGGAAGACGCAGCAGCTACCCACTCTGGAAGAATGGCAAGCGAAGGTGATTGACTACATGGGAATGGCAGAGATGACCGGCAGAATCCGTGACCAGGGGAGTGAGACAGTGGAAGAAGATTGGAAGAAATTTAAAATATACCTTAAAAATTGTTGTAACATTGAGGAGTGCTGAGATGCTATGGTCTTAAGAAACAGAGAATTGCAGCTGTAAATCATAAATTTAAGGGAGCTATAATGAAGATGAGTTAATTAATTAAATGGAGGGTTGCTGTCAAAAGGGAAAAATAAGGATGCAGAAAAAGGGAGGTATGGGGAAGTCCGGGAAATAAGGTGAAGGAAAATGAGTTTATGAAATTATACATGTTTATTTGTTTGTATTCATACTGCAAGCATGAGAGTTAGAACCATGGTTATTTTCATCCCCTCAGGGCAGCATACATGGTGTCTATCAGCACAGCCAATTAAATGGCCCAAGCATAGTCCAGAGAGAGAGGTCT